TGAAGACTGCTATTGTATTGCTTTTTCCCACCCAGCCTGCCCTTACCCCTTCTCTCCAAGTTCCAGCCTTTTCTCATACAGTTTGCATTCCAATCCTTGTCTGAGTTGTCTGCCTCTGGATCTTCTCCAACTTTCACATCTTTAAATGGGGAATCCAGAACTTCACACAGTACTCTAGTTGTAAAGTCCTAGAGTCCTAGCCAGGGCCAAGTAGAGTGGCACTATCATTTCCTAGGTGTTACAGGTAATACGCCTATTGATTAAATTAAAAATTAAAGGCCCCCCACAGCCCCTCCCAGTGCTGCTAGTGCCCCACACTCCCCCCCACAGTCTCAACAGTCCTCCTGATGCCCCTCACAACAGACCCACAGACATGCAGACACAGACACCGACATCAATCCCAGCAGGTAAGTGTGTGTGGGGGGAAGGGGCGGGGCAGGGCAGGGGAAAGGGAAGGTGCTGGGGGGTAGATCAAGGAGGGAAGTGTGTCCCTGTGCCCACTCCCAGGAGCAGGGCCAGGGGGAGGGCAGGGGTGCCACTCCGTGGGCCACACACATGCCGGCCGGCCTGACAGGAGGCTCGCACATTGAGGCCACCACCGCAACTCTGCCACTGCACCCTGAGCTACCATCCCATGGCCACCTGAATGGCTTTGTGGGCAAGTGGCGCAGAGTGTGGCAGTTCGGTGGCAACAACCGTGTGTGGGCCACGTGCTGCCCGGCTGGGGGGTGAAACGGGGGACTTGCATGCAGCAGCATACCCCACAGCCGGCTCCATGGCAGCGCAGGGTGGTGGGGCTTTGCGGGCAAGCGCTGCCACCACAGAGCCATGCCCTTTGCCCCTGGATCCTAGACATAAGTGGGGCTTGGGGGCTGTGGGGCAGGGCTGGGGAAGATGGTTGGGGGCTGCAGCGGCCGCCTGTGCCAGCAGTGACTGCCGCTGCCTACAAAACCTCCCGCTGCTGCCAGAGCCGTGCTTGGAGCTCTGTGGCCGGTGGCAGCAGTGCAGCACGGGGTGGTGATGGGGATGGCTGCATGCTGCCTGGCCACCACCACGTTGCTGCTGCCGCCCAGCTGCACATCTCCAGGCAGAGCTCTGCAGCAGCAGTGGGAGGTTTTGAAGGCAGCTGCTGTCACGGCCCTCCAAGTAAGTGGCACATGCAAGCCCAAGCCCCTGCCCCCCCACTGCGCCCCCATCCCTCACCGTGGCTGCAGAGCTGGCCACAGAGCTGTGCTCCAGCTGCATGCCAGCCTCCCTCTCCCCCTTCCCCTGGGCAGGTGGCCGGATGGCATGTATGTGGCCCACACATGGTGGGCACCTGCAAAGCCCCCCACAGAGGGGCACCCCTGCCCTCACCCGCTGGCCCTGCTTCCAGCTGCGATGTGCTGCCTGAGGTCGGCAGCACCCCCGACTCCCTCTGCCCCCAAACATCTTCCCCAGCCCTGCCCCACAGCCCCTTACCTCCATGTTCCAGGTGCGAAGAGCAAGTCTGAGCCTGAGCCCAGCCTTGGCTGCCTCAGGCTCAGGCCCCACCCTCTCCCTCCTTCTCTGGCCAGGGCTGGGGGTTCCTGCCTTTTTTGCAATTGGCTCTTGCAGGCTGGAGCTATGCCAGCCTGCAAGAGCTCTTTACAAAAGTGGAGAATCCAGAGATTTCTCTGCTAAAAAGAGAAATCCACATTTTCTCCAATAAAAACGGAATCCGTGGTTTTCTCTGTTTCTCTGTGGGAAACGGAAAACCCAGATCCCTGGTGATGAAGCAGCCTTGCTTAACTCCCGTCTTAACCTCAAAGGGAACTGTGATGGATCTGTTACCGAGAACCACCGCTCACATACATCATGGAGCAGATGGAGAACGATGACAAATTTCAGTGGGCATCCATACTTCAGAAGGATCTTCCACAGTGCTTCACAGTTTAGTGTCGAAGGCTTTCATGAGGTCAAAGAAGGCCATGTACAGTGGTATATTCCTGGCATTTTTCCTTAAGCTGGGAAGATCATTTCAGTTGTGCTTCTTGATGTCCTAAACCCACACTGAGAACCTGGTGAGAGTTCTTCATTACATGGAAGGAGATGGTTCAGGAGGGTTCTTGAAATTATGGCTCTAAGATCCCTTTTGCCAGTTCTCTCAGAACGGTCATGAATTTTCTCAGGCCCTGCTGACTTAAGAAAGCATCAGAAAGCTTTCAATTGATCTGAACAGTTACCATGACTCTCAAGGTTTCTCCTTTTTTCTTTATTTACAATTTTGCTAATTATTTTCCTGCTTCATTCTTCTCCTTAGAGCATAGTTTCTCAACCTGTGGTACGTGTACCCTTGGGAATACGCAAGACACAGGCAGGGGTTACGTGGGTACCCTAACACTCTCTCTCTCTCTCGCCCTCTTTTCCTCTCTCTCTCTCCGCTTCCGCCTCTCAAAACTATGCCAAAAAATTTGGTGCGCCGTGCATTGCACAACGCTTTAAATTCCCCAGTAATAATTTGGCATGCCACTCTGCACAGCACTGGGTTCAGTCCTCCTAGCTTTGGTCAACATCACCTCTAGCCCAGGTACATACTTGAGGTGTGCACCCCTGGTGTAAAAGGTAGCAACCCTACCCACACCAGATCAGACATCTGTCATAACATGGCCTTATGTACACAGCCCTTCTTCCAACATACGGCACACATTAATCGGTAAATATAAAATCCCCTGGAAAATTGAGTGTTGGGATAGTTATTAAAATTTTCAAAAGTTAGGGGGTATTTGCTACTTAAAAGGTTGAGAAACACTGCCTTAGAGCACCCTTAGTCAGAGATGTGAAATGGCCTCTCTTCACTGAACCTCCTCAAAATGTTCCTGCTTAACTTCATCCATAAATGCTCCACCCTCCAGTGAATATTAGTTTGCTCTTAGGCAGCAATCCTGGTTTTCTCCAATTAAAAAAAACTGTTTATGGTTTAAAAAAATAACGCAAAATCCACATTTTTCTATGATTAAAATGAAACACTACTATATCTATATCTATATATTAGTGGTGTTTCATTTTAAATCAGGGAAAAATGTGGATTGTGGGTTACTTTTTTAAACCAAGAATTCGGTTGGTTTGGGTTTTTTTTGTCAGAGAAAACCAGCATCCTTACTCTTAGGTAATATTATTCAAACTGTACAAAATCTTTTACAGACCTGATCCCTGTTTTTTCAGCTGGAGAAAGCAGTCCTTATTTCTCACCTACCAGTCTGAATCTGAGCATAAGGCCAACACTGCAATGTCTTGCATGTTTGTATAATCATGTACACCAGTACTGACCATTAATTTTTGATACCCTAAACTAACCAGAATGAGCATCTTCTCTTCAAAGGTTTTTCAGGCACCCCAGAGCTATCAGCAGGATTCAATTATGGTGAGTCTGATAGAGAAAAGTAATTACTAAATAATGTAATAATTAGCATAGGTATTTTGAAAAATGATAAGCCCCAGTAATAAGAAAAGAGTTCAGTACAAAATAACAGTCAGATTGTGAGTCTCCCCCACTCAAGAAGAGCATTGAAATAGAATTTGATGGACTGCCCCAGTGAGTAGTCAGGAGCAAATGCGTGTTTCTTCCTCATAAAGGGTATCTGCACCTGACAGCTTGCAAAGATTTTTTTCCAATTGTCTGAGTGGGTCTAATAAGAGATATCAGATTTACCCGAAGAACTTTGTCTTCCGATGTCCTTGGACCAATGCGGCTACAACCTACACTCCTTTCTCCTATGTGAAGACTTCAGCAATGTAAGTAAGGTAGTGAAGTCTGACATTCTGACATGGGCGACTGGTGCCTTCTGGGGGCGGGAATGCCCCCCTGACTGGACAGTCAGCAACTGTCCTGAGCAGGGCAGGTCCCCCACGGCCAATCCTGGTGACCTACAACTGGTGGCAGCGTGCCACTGGCACTTCCGGGTTGGCGGGATTGGCCTTGGGGGCACCACTTCTGCTGGAGCACTCCCTTCCCAGCTGGTACTCTCAGGGGGGACATCAGCACTCTTACCTACCACCCTGCCCAGGAATCCTGAATGACAGGGGGTGCACCAGCACTCAGGGGGTGCACATGCACCCCCATGAACCACCTACACATTGCCAGTGCATTTGGAAACGTGGATAGCTCAACTCTAGGCAAGGATCTATACAGGTAACCCCCACTTAACAGTTTTGCTTAGCACTATTTTGCTACAACACTCATTTTAAATTCATACCTGATTTCACTTAGCACTCAGCAAGTTTCGTTATAACCCTGTTTGCCAGGTTGGGTCATTAAAAACAATTGTGGCTGCCACCTCGGGTCGTCAGATACTTTGGTTTCACTTAACCCTTGTTTCACTTAACGCTTCTTTTTTCCAAGCGTTAACCAAGTAAGAGTGCGAAGCAGGGGTTGCCTGTACTTCAGACACACGTTAGGAACATGGCGTCTCTCTTCCCCTCCTCTTTGGCTCTCTGTTCACACGGGGCCAAAGGCAGGGTGATTTCATTCCACTCGGAGCAAGGAAGAAACCCATTTTCTATATCCTTTTTTCTTCACAGTCTGCACTGGTGTAGGTGCATCGGCAGGGAGAAGCACCTTCCTCAAGTTGTGCTGCAAATGTGCGCGCTACCTTTTGGGCCGGGGCTGAAGTCTTACAGAGACCAAAGGACTGCAAGCTCACCTGGGGATGTACTTTTCACTCCCTTGTCTCTATCAGTAAAAACAAAGTCAGTTGGGCAACCTGCGGTCATGTCTTCGTACGCATAACATCGTTTTACCTGGTGAGAAGAGCAGGGCGAGGGCGGGGGCGGGGGCGGGGGCCACCCACCGCGGCGCTGGGT